GTTCTGATAAGATAGTATTATGAAAGTTGTTGCACTTTACGAGAAAGAGAAGATAATAATTCTTCAAATTAATTGAGTGCAGCTGAAGTTAGAAATATGACTGTTGCTATATTCATAGAAAATGACTGAGCACTCAAGACTTTCAATAGGATGCGTCGAATGTGTTTCTCAGGAAATATATTTCTTGACTTGTTTCATATTTTTGAACACAAGAAAAGTCCGAAAAAATAGCTTTTGAAGAAGTTTCAGGCATTTCCCTGATAGTTTTTCTATACAAAGTATTTCATTTTTTTTCATCGAAAGTGTGTTCGAGTACACACCGCCATTTCGAAGCGAAAAAAATCAAAAAAAAACTTTCCAAAAAGTGGATGGGTCCTCATGGATTCACCCTTTAATAGAAATGGTTTATTTTGAGCGTGTAATGAATAAGCCATATCACCGTATATCAGGAACAATCTGTACTGTATATCGTGTTGCATGGTGAAAAGTTGTTCTGATAGTCATATGTGGAATCTAACAGCTAATCTTATGCTGAGATTGTGGCTTTGTAAGTGAAAATGGAGGCGTTCTTGAGAAAAATCGTGGGTAAGTGCGGAATAATTGCGGAGGGTAGGGGTATTTTGAAGTGAAAAATATGCAACTGGTGATTGTCATGATTGTAGTATTAGCTGTCAGTGGAGTAATACAGTTTTATAGAATACGAAAATTCTCTCATTTGCAGACTTTGTTATGCATATATTATGGTCACGAGTGCTATTAGAAAAGCTTTCGTTTGGTTCAAGTTAAGGATGGTATGTATCTTTTATTTCTTACATGTTGCGCTGTTTTATTCAGGGCTTGTGAAGAAATATTATTCAGTCCGAATTTTGTTTTCTTCGGCAGAATGGAAATAGTGGTATGGATAGTAATATGGCAGAGGAAAAACGAGTTAAAACGGGGCCAAAGAATTTACTTAGGGCATACCAAAAGTAGTGGTGTTGGTATTGTATGGACCCTATGGAACGCTCAAATCAAACTTTTCCCTATATGTACTTGTAGAGGAAACAGTGCTCTATATTTCTTCAATGAGTCATCCTTTACCAGTGGCTATTATTATATGAGAAAAATTCAATAGAAACTGTACACCCATTTTTAGATGAATAAAGAGCAGATTCGTGCCTATATTAAACTGCGTACTGCACTTAACATGCAGCCGAAATCCATCTTTGACAAATTATGTAGAGCTTTGAGGGACCAAGCTCCATCTTACAATACGGTTGTAAGATGGTCAAAATTATGTCGTGAAGGTCGGGAAGAAGTTGAAGATGAACCACGACCTGGTAGACCTGTAACCGAGACAACATCCGACAATATTGAAAAAGTTCGTCACCTTATTGATAATGATCCTTATCTTACTATTGATGAAATACAAGTCGAAACTGGGCTGAGTCACGGTACCACCCAGCGAATTGTTTCTGGCCATCTCAAGCTGAAAAAAATTACCGCTCGCTGGATACCCAACCAGTTGACCGATTCTCAACGAGCTAAACGTGTTCGAATATGTCAAGAAAATTTAGCAAAATTTAATCAAGGAACCTGGCGGTTATGTGACGTAGTGACAGGCAACGAGTCATGGTTTTATCACAAACAACTTGGGCGAAAGTCGTCCAATGCTGCCTGAACAGCAAGTGGAGAAACTCCGCCAACTGTAGTTCGACGCAGTCATTTCGCTCCAAAAACGTTATTTTGTATCTTCTTCAAGACCACCGGCCCTGTTTTA